GCCCATCACATGAGATCATAAGAGCGCCACTTCCAGCAGGAGCAGACGCCATCCAGCTACATACAGTCTTGAACATCAAGTGGGCAGTGGGCAGTGGCACTAACTTTTATTATGAAAAGCAAAGCAGCATGTGAGCGAAATTTTACTAGAACCATCACTCTCTAAAATCTATAGCAAAATAATATAGCTCACTTTATACCCATATCCTATAAGTTATCTATTCATGAGGTGAAAAAATAACAGTACAAAGTCCCACCGGACAGCGTTTCACGTCACCGCAGCTCCACCCAAGGCTCGTATAAACAGAGCGCACAGGCTGGTATGTAAATATACAGCCGGCACCCGATCGATTTTCCATGAGTGGTCGTCGTCCCGCCCCAGCAGCCCAGTTAGAGCGTGTCGTATTTAAAAAGCGGGCGGCTCGGCTCGCGGCTGAGCTAATCTAACAGATGAGTCGACACGGCTAGCGAACATGGGACACGTCTGTCGGAGACGGTGCTCTACAGAACACGGCACCTCAGCGAGCGGAGAGAGGTCTTCGGGAGGCGATGGGAGATCGCCTGAAGGGAAGTCAGCAGTAGGCGTTGTCCAAGTGAGGGGGAAGACAGCGTGAGACAACGCTTCAGGGAACAGGGAGCGTTCCACTCGGGGAACAGGGAGGGACGTCTCGGGGAGGGAGAGCTGCGGCAGGCGGTGTCTCAATCAAGCTGGAGGGACATCCGAGGGGGACGTCACCTCAAGAGAAGGAGTTTCCTCAATGACGTTACATGAAAAAGGCGGCGCCACAGACTGAGGGTGTCTGCGCGACGTGAAGAAAACTGAACCCGACCAATAGAGTAGTGAAACAGTGTTCAACCCATCCATTCATCAGGACCGCCCCTAGCCTTCACGAGACTAGAGGCAACGACGAAGCGGTCAGGCGTGCTAACTGACAGGTCTGAAACTGTGTTCCGAAACCGAGCCATGTTACTCTTATACACCACAGGGCCCTTTCGGCTGTATGTCAAGAGTGGTCCTGCACGCGCAGAAAATCACTGTGTCATTATCGTCATAATACCCCCGTAGCATGCCCGAAATTACCCCAAATTGGGTACAAAACACAAGATTGTCGCAATTACACACAGTAGCTGAGTGCCCCCACCAAAGGATATAAAAGCAAAAAAGCGAGATAAATAGCTAACACTGCCGGGACCGATCAGCTGAGTCAACAACTGAGAGCAAGCCTTGGAGCGAGCCGCAAAGGACCGGGAGGGGGGGGGGACCATCACTGATCTAACCACTGACAGCAGTTCAAGCGAGTTCCGAGACCATGGCCGATCAAAGCCTGACGGTAATCCGCGCCAGCCGGGCTTCGGCTGAGTGACGCACATAATCCCATCACAGGTTTCCGAGCTGTATAAGTGCCTATGCAGGAGCTTACACTACCCTTTGATCCAGTCAGGGAACGTAGGGGAGCAATTTATCTGGAATATAAACTGTGAGGTAATTACCCACACACAGCGCCATTTCAGATACTATGAGTGGATAGCAAAATAATTCACCATCGGGATAGTATCACCAGCAGACCAGCAGCGTCGCCCGCTTCAGGCCGTCACCCTTCAAGAGCCCACCAGTTGGACTTTCACGGGGCATCAACCACGCCTAACTGAGGCTCTGGTCCGAAGGAAGAGCTGCGACTGTAATATGTCCTCTGTGTTACAAAGATATAAGAAGTGGAGTCCACGCGCCCAGTTCATGTCACGGGCAGCTTGGAACGACGGGTGCTTGGGCAGTAATCGCCACGCCATGTGTGGATCGCCCATGATCGTAAATACATCATACATACATATCTCGTTGATGCTCATATACTTAACAATAGAATGTGATCACGAAGGCCGTAACAACTTCGGCCAGATTCTCTTCAGGTTTCCAGTTATTTTTTATCAAGTCGACCAGCACCAACGTTAAAACCAACTGATTTTCATCATAATAATAATCATGCTAAAAAAAAACGTTCAACATCGTTCAAGCACCAACGTCCATCCACCTCCCACACCCTACAGGAATGTGAGCCGAGCTCCACATGCTCGTGGCCAGGCTCGGTCGACCCAGACCGAGCTAAATGGTCCCAGGGCATAGCGAGGGCAACGGCCCATTAGCCAACCGGTGCTGCTTCCATACTCTCTCCACGTTCCGTCACTCTGTCCGTCGGGGATCGATCGGAGACCGTTCCTATTTGACGACCAGACGGACCACGGACGGGATGGACCACAGACCACGGACAGACCACAGTCCACAGATGAACCGCCGAAAACGGAAAAAACAATGGCCAAAGGACTGATGGAAACGGGGCGAATGGACCATATTGGACACGGAGCATGAGGAACGTGATTAACTGAAGGGACTAGGGCTATAGGCGGAGTTGAAGGAACCAGGCCGGGTCAACGGTCAACCCCGGTTCCTCGGACCAGTTGACCACTTTTTGTTCCTTAGATTCGGCCGGAAAATGAAAAAAAAAAAAAACTTAAAACTTCATAACAGAACGGAGGTGTTAGAACGTGGATTGTAAGACTGAAATGCAGCACCGAGATCGGTAAACGAACACATACTTGGGCACTAAATCAAACCAGTGAAGGAGAATGAATGCGTTAAATGACGAGTTGAACGAATATCTTTTAAATCAAGCCACGTACGGAAGCATCCAAGTCCTACCTTCAGTTGTGCTGAAATTGTATCCAACTCCATCCAATCAAATCTTTTCTCGTGTAGCTTCTGCCGGCCTCCAAGCCATCACAGCTCACAGCAGCCTTCAATGCGCACCCTCCGCAGTGTGCCGGAGCACCACCACACCACACCAGAACACACCAATGACTGACAGCTCGCCTCACAGACCCATTCCACCTAACAGAACTGTGTCAGCTGGCCAGTGACGAGCGGCGCTCGGGCGACGCGGCGCGGCGCGTATAGCGGCGAGTCTGTCCCGCCGTGCAAGACAGCGGCACGGCGCGCCGGTCACTGGGCCGGGAACGACGAACGACCTCGGCCCGGCGGTGGTGGGCGGCGGGCCGTGCGTGTGGCATACGGCCAAGGCCGCAGCGACGGGGAGAGGGGCAGGTGGGGGAGAAAGAGAGAGCCATGCAGACCGTGACAAGGTTCGGTGATATCAAGACGCGACACGCGCAGCGAATTCAGTGGAAAAATATATGAGGACTCCGAAGCTTGTCTATTTTCAACAACAACAAAACATTGCAGGAGTCCATGATCGGTGTGATTATTATCGAAAGTTGAAAACAATAGAGAAATATCTAGCATACCTGCTTAGGCAAGAAGCATGAAAACAATGCCTGGACTGAAACACCTGGTGAGAGTGGATCCGGCCGTCACCAGCGTGTGGTCGATCAGCCGAGACACTCTCAGTCCTCACACGGCGACTGTTGTCTGCACTCTGCCGCCACCCGCGGGTCCCCGGCGGTTACGTAACTCAGCCAGCCGCGCGCCGATCCATACCCAGTCGTCCCATTCAGCGGCGACCCCTCGCCGGAGACAGGTCAACGTAGGTCGGGGTAGGGAGGTTCGCCGTGACCCGGGACGAGACCGGTCGACGTTGGACGGGGTAGGAAGGTCAGCAGCACAGTTTAAACCACCGACTCAGAGTAGGCCGAGCACAAAAGTAAACGGTTAAATCAGGAGTCGAATTGCCCTGAATTCAGCAATCCGGTTTGCATGGTTTGCAACACACCAAGAAAGTCAATCCCACAAGAAGGCTGAGGTCAGCGATCACGGTTGCCACTAACGGTCTCGACTGTGTCCACCAGCCACGGCTGATGAAGCACGGTTAAGCTTCAGCCACGGCAGAAGCTATCGGTTACAGCTGTGGCCAGCTGTCTTGGCTGAAGCCAGCCACCACGGCTGAAGCCAGTGGTCAGTGGTCACTGGTCTTAGCACGCTGTCTGTAACCAACGGCCACGTCTGCCGCGGTGAATGCTGACGGAATGCTGTGAGTCGGTGCCGCGGTGAATGCACGCATCGCTGTCTCCAATCGGACTCTCACAATGACCGCATTAATGCATGCAAAGTGACCCGGCGCTGGTCAATCCAGTATTCTGCCGTCCAAAGGCAAAACCGCATATGTCGGGTCAGGTCATGACCCGACATATGCGTTTTTGCCTTTGGACGGCAGTATTCCAAAACGAGCGATAAAAACCCAGCCACGCTGACACAACAGACTACGAATGCAAGGCCACTGCTGTCCTCTATTCATGAGGTGCAGTTGCCTTGGCTACAGGCATGGAATGCAGGATTACCTGCGTTGCTTTATGGTCTCACAGCGCTGGGTGAATGAGTAAGGTTGGGGGGGGGGGGGGTATTAGCATAGACCAAATAACACTGTTTGGAAGGTGCATTTACACTGAGCTACTTTTACTAGGCACCACAAGTCCAAAAGACCGGAAACACTATGTAGGATGGAGGGCCGCGACTCTTGCAATGTCTCATTACAATCAGCTAATTGTGATTACCAGAAAGCACGAAGTGTGAGTGGAGCAGAGAGAGAGCCTCTGGTCTATATGATATATCATATGATATCTATGATAGACTCTGATCTATGATAGATCATATGAGATCTATGATATATCATAGATCTAATTGTCTAGGAATCTCACCATTCCATTATAATTGAGTTGAGATGGCCAGGTAGCGAATACTCGATATTTTGAGCAGCCTTGACTTTAAAAAAAAAAATCAAGTACTTTAAAACCTTTTAATCCTTAAACTTTTAAGAGAATAGTTAGCTTGCCTGAGTCTGATCGTTCCGGGCTGGGGCTGAATTTCCGTCGGTGCTTCTTTGGCAATAAAACAGAAGCTGAGGTCCACATGGGTTTAGAAGTGTAAGAAGAGTCAGACATTTCGTTTTTCTCACAGTCAATGACAATCCAAAAACAATGTAATAAGACCAGACGTTTCGACAACAAAGTGCCTTCGTCAGTGGAAAAACAAGATATAGGCTTTACATCGATAAAAATATAGAAGACGACCAGCCTGCACGAAATACAGTTCTACTTTTTTGAAATACAGGTTATATCTAATCTCGCACTAAAATGTTGTATCGTTCTTCTGTCTAAACTATTCTGTAAGTCATAATCACAGCATTGACACATTGACACATTATAACAGAGACACTCCTATAGATATAGCTATTTGTTTTTTAGCACCATTTTCGCACCTATCCTGGACCAGCTGTAGAAGCCTGGTTTTATGTTAACAGTGTCTTCAAGTAAAATATATGCAGCTTCCATGGCTCTCCTAATCGGTTTTGGCATGCCCTTTTCCATCACTGTAGCTGAATCCCAAGCTGGAAGATGATGACACTTTTCTATATGAAGCACCATCGCATTGGATACATTATGATTTCGAACATCACGTTTGTGCTCTTGAAGTCGTGTTTTCAAACCCCTCCCCGTTTCACCGACATATGATTTTGAACATGGTCCAGAACAAGGTATCTTATATATAACACTGTTGTCTGATGTGTTCACCTTCTTCGGTCGCACTAAATCTTGAATCTTGGATCCTGAAACGATGGCTACATTGGTTCCAGCTGATCGTAGACTAGTCGCTATTTCGTTCGCTTGTTTCGAGATGGGAATCGTTATGAATCGTCCTCGTTTCTTTTGTTCTTGTTTTTGTTTCTTCTTTTCTTCTACACTCTTCCTCCTTATTTCCTTCGCCTTGTTTTGGAGCCGAATTAAGTAACCTTTTGGATAATGAAGTCTTGTAAACGTTTCGTATATATGGGCGATCTCTTCGTCGAGGAATTCTTCGCTACAAATCCTGAATGCTCGGAGAAAGAAGCCGATGACTATGCCACTTTTTACGCGATCGCTGTGTCCTGAAAGGAAGTGGACGTAGTCTTCTTTATTTGTAGGCTTTCTGTATACCTTAAATTTTGCTGTACTTCCGCACCTAATAACCAGTGTGTCCAGGAAAGGAATCGTTCCGCTGTTTTCGGTTTCAATTGTGAATTGGATTTTCACGAATGTACCTGTAGAAGGAGCTTTAGAGGCGATCGCCAAAGCCGTTAATAATATAGATGAAAGATCTCTTCCTCTTCCAAAAGCGCAGTATATGGAACTAGTAACACTTTGCATGCAGTTTAACACGTTTACTTTCGGTGACACTGAATACGTTCAGTCAAATGGTTTAGCCATGGGATCTCCGTTAAGTCCAGTAGCGGCTTGCTTGTACATGGAAAACCTGGAGGAAGAAAAGTACAAACATATCATGGGCCCTGAGTGCACTTGGATTCGTTACGTTGACGACGTGCTCGTAATAGTTCCACACGATATGAACCTGAAAGAGAAGGTTATTGCCCTGAATGCCGTCGATCCGAAAATCCAATTCACAATTGAAACCGAAAACAGCGGAACGATTCCTTTCCTGGACACACTGGTTATTAGGTGCGGAAGTACAGCAAAATTTAAGGTATACAGAAAGCCTACAAATAAAGAAGACTACGTCCACTTCCTTTCAGGACACAGCGATCGCGTAAAAAGTGGCATAGTCATCGGCTTCTTTCTCCGAGCATTCAGGATTTGTAGCGAAGAATTCCTCGACGAAGAGATCGCCCATATATACGAAACGTTTACAAGACTTCATTATCCAAAAGGTTACTTAATTCGGCTCCAAAACAAGGCGAAGGAAATAAGGAGGAAGAGTGTAGAAGAAAAGAAGAAACAAAAACAAGAACAAAAGAAACGAGGACGATTCATAACGATTCCCATCTCGAAACAAGCGAACGAAATAGCGACTAGTCTACGATCAGCTGGAACCAATGTAGCCATCGTTTCAGGATCCAAGATTCAAGATTTAGTGCGACCGAAGAAGGTGAACACATCAGACAACAGTGTTATATATAAGATACCTTGTTCTGGACCATGTTCAAAATCATATGTCGGTGAAACGGGGAGGGGTTTGAAAACACGACTTCAAGAGCACAAACGTGATGTTCGAAATCATAATGTATCCAATGCGATGGTGCTTCATATAGAAAAGTGTCATCATCTTCCAGCTTGGGATTCAGCTACAGTGATGGAAAAGGGCATGCCAAAACCGATTAGGAGAGCCATGGAAGCTGCATATATTTTACTTGAAGACACTGTTAACATAAAACCAGGCTTCTACAGCTGGTCCAGGATAGGTGCGAAAATGGTGCTAAAAAACAAATAGCTATATCTATAGGAGTGTCTCTGTTATAATGTGTCAATGTGTCAATGCTGTGATTATGACTTACAGAATAGTTTAGACAGAAGAACGATACAACATTTTAGTGCGAGATTAGATATAACCTGTATTTCAAAAAAGTAGAACTGTATTTCGTGCAGGCTGGTCGTCTTCTATATTTTTTATCGATGTAAAGCCTATATCTTGTTTTTCCACTGACGAAGGCACTTTGTTGTCGAAACGTCTGGTCTTATTACATTGTTTTTGGATTGTCATTGACTGTTAGAAGTGTAAATTTTTCTTGTTTTAATGTTTTTCATTGTCCGGAATCTAAAAATGATGTTTATTAGTGTAGCCAATATCATAATAAGACAATGAGGTGAGATCACCTGACCTTTCCCCAGCTAACTTAACTCAGCCTCATCTTACCCAGCCTGACCTGATCTAACCTAGCCCTACACGTACCTGACACCTAACACCTACCCCTGCCAAAGCCCATGCTGGGTTGGGTCAGATAAGGTTGACTCGGAGTCAAGTGACATCCCATCAATGGATTATCACATTTAGCTGTGCAAATGAGCATTATTTCCAGATTCAAGACAATAAAAACATGAAAAGAAGCAATGTTTACCGTAGGAACCTGTGAACCTCAGCTTCAGTAATAGGTATGAGCCTCTTCAAGTCTTCAGCTTGTCAAATTTCTTGCCACACTGATACTTTGCATCTGGATGTCCCCATTTTCAAGAACATCAGGATTCAGGGCTGCCTGTGTTGCCAGTGTGATTAGGCCTCACCATAACCCAGGGTTTTCTAAAAAAATCTATCTACCTGCAACTAATACCTGGAAAAATAATAAACTTCTAATTTCACAGACGATACAATTAACTTTTTTCATTTTACAAATTTTGTGCGAAAGAATGAACGGATCATATGGGTGTCCCACTAACCTCTGGTCCTCCTGGGTCTAGCATGGCCCTCTCACCAGGGTGGATGATATGGATGGTACGATCACAAGCGCCATATCACTTGTGATCGTAGATGGACTGAGGGTTGTTTTTAATGTATTTTATACTGTATTACTTGCATCGTTTTTAATATGCCATGCTTGCATTTGTGTCTCCTCCCATACCCACGGTCAATAAACGAATGAATGAATGAATGAATGAATGGTGATGGTGAAAACCAAAACAGGGTGCCTGAGGACATGAGATATTGCACACTGCCATATCCAGTCATGTGATCAGTAAGGACTTTTCCCTCTCCCCATGCATTCCATGGGCCAAGTCGAAATCCTAGTCATGTGCTCAGAGCCAGTGAAGTTCAAGGGCCTTGACCAAAACGCCCTGGGTGGCGGGTGCCTGTTTTCACCATCCACCCTCGCCAGTTGCTGGCTGGCTTAATAAAGGAATGCAGTTCAAAAACGTGGAGCTTCCCAACAGCCAGCTCACTAGTGAGTATGAAACAAGCACCTTATCCACTAGGCCACATCATGACATGGAGGACAAGCAGCCTAGTGGCCTGGTGTTTCAAAATGATAACAACAACAATTAAAATGATGTTGAAGACTATACTCTGTTCCGTTTCAAGCTTGCAGCCGAAGTGCCCTGCTGAAAGCAGTGCGTGATTTCTTATATAAAGTACAGCTCTTACATTTTAAGACGCAAATTCTTGAGCGGAGAAGCGATCTGCCCAAGAAACTCTGACTGCAAGCTTGATATGGAACAGATTATAGGGATTTGATTGGTCTATAGATAGACCAATCAAATCAAACAAGTGTTTCATTCCCATGCAGCATGCACATTGCACAGGAAATTGACATAGCCCTAAGGGCTCTACTGCTAACAACTCAAATTGTGACAAATTGAAGAAGAGCAGACATACCTTGTGAGTTATGGCCTGATCCAGGATATTAAGATCAAAAAGTTTTATTGGTACACCTTGGTTCCACCTGCCTCCACAAACAAAATGAAATCAAAATGCAGTCCCCCGCCCTTTTACAATCGATTTACACAGATGCTCAAAATCACAAAAAAACGCCCTAGCTCACGTTATTTTTAACCCGAGTAGCAAAAAAGTACAACTGAACCTAGCGGATATTTTTTGAAGCAATAATTAAAAATAATTTGCAGGGGCATTTTGACAACCAAAAGAATATAATTACTTTTAACACTTTCCAAATATTTTTAATATATCTCAAAAGTAGGTTTATTGCAATATAATCATTTATTATTTGATTTAATGGATTTTATGACAAAAGTCCGACTAAAACTAGACCCAACTTGATACAACAAATGAGTCAGAAATTGTCAGTGCTGCGCCGTTTAGGCTACAGTGGGTTTAAAATACCACTACCAAAATATATGTCGAGCATAAGTGCATTGAGAAAAGAGATAATTGAGCTATAAAGCATGCACTTTAGAAGACGCAGAATTTAAAACTCTTAGTTAAAAGTTCCTTGGCCTCCGCGCTACCCTCAAGCCGCTGAGGGGGGCATATAGTTGCCCCCTTTACTTCTGCGACGATTTCGTTGCAACGTGAAGAGATAGAGACGCGAAACCCTGCACACATCTTCCTGAATACCTAGCCGAGGTTGTGTCCAAATTTGGTGTCGATCCCATGTGAAATGACGGTGAAATGACGTCACAGTGACGTCAGAAGTCAAATTATAGATTTGCGGCTCTCAGTTTCCTCACGATATATCCGATATATGAGACCGAATATAAAGGACCAATTATTGGTCAGGAACTAGTTGGAGGTGTCCTGACCGTGACCTGAGGTCAACACCCTAAGTTGACCTAACCCAAACAAAAACTATATCTTTCGACGCGCCTGAGCGAGGCGAACACGATGCTGCCAAAATCACGGCTCTGCAGCCGTTTTTTTTTTGCGAAATTATTCACCAAAAACTGAACCGTACCTTAGGACACTTGACCTGACCTCAGAGGTCACCGGTCGACCTAGGACCTTAAAATCGGGTACCAATCTCTGCGTCTCGTACCTAACGGCGCACACGCTCGTTTTTTTTCCGCGACGCGCTAGCTCCACCAGCTTCACAGCTCCACAAAGCTTCACAGGGGCGAAACAGCGGGGGTTCGTACCCGTCCCCCCCGCCCCTCGGCCGGCGTGTATGTAGACTAGAAAACCAATAGGTCCGGCGAGGGTTAACATGGCCTTTCGAATGTTTGCCGATCATCAGTTGCTCCCTGATGTTGCATAGGTATGGGTATAGACTACAGGTGTTATGATTCTGAAAATGTATTGCGGTTTAGCGCAATTTGTTCAGAGCAGCAGTAATTCGTGTCCACGTTTAGTTGGCACTATCACATCTCCTTATAATGGATGGTAAGGCTACGAACCGGACCTGACTTTAGGTCTTCAGCATCAAAATCTGAGCCAGCGAACTGCTGGAGCTGATGCTCATGTAGGTAGGACGTAGGTACAGTCACCAGCACTTGCTACTAATCACCTCGTTTTTGTTCAGTAGTTTGAAGACCGATCAATTCTCAGTCGCGCAAGATACGTCAAACGATCCGTTTGGTCCTCCGATTTTCGAATATCTAACTTGTTTTCGTATATTCGAAGCATTTTGGGATGGGGAGCCAAAAAACCTCTTTTCTGCCCTAAAGTGTGCCCCAAGAAGTCGTAGAACCTAGTCCCGCCTCTGATCCACAGACCACTAGTGCCATCTCTTGTCAGCCGAACAAGCCACAGAAGTAAATAATGTCGCGTGACCTTTGCACACGCTACAATTACTACGCAGCTGTAGTGGGGGAAGCGGGGCGGAGGCGTGGAGAGGGACGCGATCGTTTGGCTGGGGTCAGGTCGCCGAGGTCAGAGGTCATCCGCCGGAGGGTGTTTGAGCGGTTGGGCCGTGTGGGCTGGGGCCTGCGGAGTGGGAGCGCCTGGACCTGTCTGGAAACAAGCCCTACAACGCAGTGACAGTCGAGAATATTGTGAGGAAAGAGAGAGAGTGAGGGAGATGGAGAGGGAGAGAGAGAGAGGAAGAGAGAGGGGAGAGAGAGAAAGAGAGAGGAGAGAGATGGAGAGAGAAAGAGAGAGGGAGAGAGAGAAAGAGAGAAAAAGAGAGGGAAAGAGAGAGAGGGAGAGAGAGAGAGAGAGAGAGAGAGAGAGAGAGAGAGAAAGAAAGAGAGAGGGAGAGAGCGAGAGCGAGAGAGGGAGAGCGAGAGAGAGAGAGCGAGAGACAGAGCGAGAGAAAGAGAGCGCGCGCGAGAGAGAGAGACAGAGACAGAGACAGAGAGAGAGAGAGAGAGAGAGAGAAAGAGAGAGAGAGAGAGCGAGAGAGAGAGAGAGCGAGAGAGAGAGAGAGAGAGAAAAGAGAGAGAGAGAGAGAGAGAGAGAGAGAGAGAGAGAGAGAGAGAGAGAGAGAGAGAGAGAGAGAGAGAGAGAGAGAGCTAAGAAAGACTGGAGGGAAGGGATAAGGACGGGAGGAGAGAAGAGAGAGAGAGAGAGAGAGAGAGAGAGAGAGAGAGAGAGAGAGAGAGAGAGAGAGAGAGAGAGAGAGAGAGAGAGAGAGAGAGAGAGAGAGAGAGAAAAACTGAAAAGGAAAACCAGAGAGGGTAAAATGAGAAAGAGGGCAATTGGTAAATCAGTGAGAGGGAGCGAGAGAGGAAATATTTAGTTGTGTCAGCTTGTTTCACATGTAAAATGCAAATTTGCTTTCCATCGTTACAGCTTCGGATTGGAAATTAAATCTTAGCATCCTTATGATAAACCCACGTTGACGGGATGCAGTAGCGGCGGAACACCTTCAATTAAGGGGGGGGGGGCACTGCCGACTTTTGGCCCTATTATTTCCATGCAACGCTCATAGGGCTAATGAAGAAACGCCAAAATCAGAGGGGGCACGGTGTCCCGGTGCTCTCCCCGTTACGCAGCACAGTGAAAACTAGCACAGTGACAATCGTCTGAAATAAAATTGGATTCAGTAAGAACTAAGAACTTCATTGTCCGAAAACCGCTGACAGTTGATAGCTCACTGACACTTAGAGCCGTGCAAAAGGAGGCGTGAAAACACTCTCCTCATTTCGTTCTATTACGAGAGGGCCTTGTCATGGCGTGAGAAAGGTGCTCTCAAAATAAATGACACTGTATGAGTGAATAAATATTCCGCGCCCCCTTGGGCTATTGGCGGACCCTACCACCTGATCGGGTGGTGCAGCCGTTTCGCCCTCCACCTGAGATCTCGGAAAGTTACCGACCGATTTTAAACATTCAAAGAGCGTTCGATAGCCCCATCAGGGAACTACCATGTTACCAGGTTTCGTTGACCTAGGTGCAACCCATGACGTCACAAGTCAGGTCAAAGGTCGCATTGTTTTCACCGATTTAGTCTAAGGAATGCGTTACAGTCAGTTAACACATCAAATAAAACGCATGCTATCGAAAAAACATCGATGGAGCGTTGGTTGTCTAATACATATGCTGCCTAAAGATGTCATTGATGCCAGGTCAGTTCACAGAGGTCAGGTCACTTAGGGTCACAATATGAACCCAACTATGCTAGGGTCGTGTGATACATGTTTTATGGCCAATTTTACATTTAAAATTCAATGGTGTGAGCTAGACGGCCGTAGACGGTGTGAGTGGAAGTCAGGTCAAGGTCAGGTCAAAGAAGGTCAAATTTCAAAGTTGATATTTTGCATAAAAGGGGTATCTATTCGATGCAACTCATCACAGGAAATCCAATAGTCTTTGGCTTGCTTTGTGTGTTCTGTGACGGCCAAAAATTGAATTTGAAAATTTTACGTAATAAATTTTGAGTAGCTTTCTTGCCATAACTTTGCTAAAAATGGAGCTATCGAGTTTAAGTTTGGCATATCTAGAGCAGATAATTCTATAACATATATTTCAGTTTTAATTTTGAAAGTTGTTGGTATTTTCGGGGTGTTATACTTCTATAGTTTTGATGGTCAAAATCAATTTTTGTTTAGAGATAAGAGTTAGCAGTTCGGTAGCGCTGTTTATTTTACATCTTTTTGATCTTGAATATTTTTCGTTATCTTCAAAACTGTAGCGTGACAGCTCTCCCCGCTAAATCTTTTATTGGGTCGAAAATGACAAAACATGGCATCCCTCTGACGTCATTTGTGACTAACCTTTCATAAGAGCTCTGGAAAATTTGGTCACAAGGTGTAAAAATGATGCCCGGAGGGGTCTTGAAAGTTTGGTGCCGACATTTGCTATACTTTAGGAGATATCGACTTAAAAGGAGAGAGGGGACCGTTTTGCGCCGCCCTCCCCCCTCAACGGGGCTTTCAGTTGCTGCTCTCACAGAACAATTGGTTATATTACAACGTAGTGGAATTGCAAGCGGCAATATAAGCTTCCTGCCAGCGCCGGACCAGAGTTTAATAATGTTACATGCAGGCTGAATTTTAACATTTAACTTTTGAATTTTTAAACCGTTGAGCTTTTTAGAAGTTGTATGAACTGTTCAGCTCCTTTTTTGGTCCATCACAGCGGGCTTGTATGTCATTTGTCAACCAAAATCGAATCAAAAACCTTTTATTTGGTCTGGCTACCTTGCCAACTCCTTAACTGGATCGTCTAGTAGCTTTTGATTGGGCACTGTCCACATTGTCTAGCTTTTCGTGTCATAGACACTGTCTATGACACGAGAAGAGGCTACTGACATCGTTTGTCGCGGTTGGATAATACCAATCCACGTCCCAGTGGCTGCTCGATCGCACTTTCCCTGGCCCACCTCTCCCACCAGGCTAGACTTTGCCCGGCACAGCCGTCGCCTCAGTGCCTCGGGCGGTGACCCGTTCAAAGGGGCTCACAATTCGTATGGTGCCGTGGCTCTCAAACCAATACAGAACAGTGAAACGCAAAGGCTCACTTTCCATATAAGGCGAACGGCTGATTCTGGCGCCGGGGCTTCATTCATGCTAAGGCGCCCAATCACAGCGCCGCATTTCAGTTAGTGTCGGGCGCAAAAGCTACTATGCTCCGCCCCTCCATCACGTGACCCTGCCCTCACGTGGCCTCAGTCACGTGGTGTTTCCACTTCTTGGCGCATGGCGGCGCTAGTCTCGCAGGGGCGGTGGTAGCTTGCTCCCCCGCCGTCCGAGGGTGATGGGTAGCAACTGCTGGTGACTGTACATGTGGCTCGGCTGGTGCACTGTACGTTCCAGTAAGCTCCAGCCTGAGGTAGCTATCATTAGTTATCACTTACGAATGCTGATCGGTACGTTTGTAATAGCGTACAAAATAATTGATTCATTGGTGCTTACTGCTTCAAAATAATAATGATCAAACTCAAATAATAATCCGTAAAATCTCGTTCGTGGTTGCGGAATCAATAGGTACCGATTCAGATAGCTCACAGCTGCACTCAAGCCTGTATTTATCGTTTCCGATGTATGACATCAAAGTGGACAGTAATTAGTCATTATCCCTTCCGGATGTCACGTTCCGCACGCACTCGGACGTCTGTTGACGCTGCTAACTAGTTCACAGGTCGGCCGATAGATGGCAGGAGCGGCTCCGTCGGCTCCGACGCTTGTGTATGCACTCTTGTCGCCCTGCCGACCGCTCATCGAATTCCGTTCCCGTTATGTCCGGCGGTGAAGCGGCAGTGACGACGGCGGCGGCGACAGTGCACGTCCAGGGTCCGCAGCTCCTGGGGCTTATCGGTCCGCGACCTGACCTGACCTGAGCTGACCTGAGCTTCACACTTATTTGAAGAAGCCGCAGCGAACGGTTCTATCAGGTGAGCAGTGATCGGTTTTCTCACGCTGAAGGGTAAATATCACGTTTTAGAGAAACAGTTGTGAGCTTTTCAAAACAATCTAAGCTAACTATGTATATGTGCATTCTTATTTTCTGCTTTGTCCCTTGTTGTGTTTTTCTTTCTTGGTAGCGATGTGGGATTTTCACGTTGACTTGAGCCGAGTTAGGACTTTGACGATTCGAAGTCGTTTCGTGGCATTATCCCCACTTATAATATGCGTGTGTGTGCGTAACGACATATCTAGTATCTACCCCTTTCGCGTTCATGCATCGACGCAATTACTATAGTTAATACCTACCAATTAGCCCCACAGTCCACCGGGGGCTAGCCCATCATGTTATCCGCTTGATATTAATGGCTTACACGAGCCCATTACGTCAGGAGCGGACCATTATTGTGACACGGCACAGCATCGGTGGCATGCTGGTCGCTGCGGCTGGGGCGTAGTCAGAAACGTTCAGTGAGTTGGTAATTAACCGAAACGTCCGAAAGCTACTGAACTGCTCAATATACATTATACGTTGTTTGATCTTTCCCGTCAATAACCGTTCATTTTCGGCAATAAGCCTTCTAAGATGCGACGTGAATAAATAGTGAATGACAGCTAGATACTATAGGTATAAGATAGGTGTATATACGCAAGGGGTGTACGTATATCTAATAACGTGTCTAATTGTCTTAATATACCTTTCGTTGATAAAAACCAGTGGCGGCGGAAGGTAATTTTGGATGGGGGTGCAAGGTTTTCTCAAGGGGCCCCTCTGGAAGTTTTGGGCCCCCCTTCATTTTTTTTTGAGTGATTATTATTGATTTATGTAAACCGAAGATTCTGGAAAACTATCCCCATACACACAACTTCTGTAAAAGGTTTGAAATTGCAGTGTACCTATCTACCTATCTCAAATAATGAAAGCATAAAGAAGCAAATGCAGCTAGTTTGTTATCGGCTAATCTTTTAGTCTAGCCACCACCGGGCCAAACTGCCGAGACTGCCGAGAGAACCGAAGCAGATTTAGACTGTTTTGTCTACCGTGTCTAGGATTGGTATGCTAAGCTAAACAAAATAATTTTTTCCGTTTATGAGAGCAACCTTGCCTTGCCGAATGACGTTCAGTTATACCGCTAAAGCCTCACAAGTTAACATCTATCTGTAGCTATCATTCCTGATGCCGAAGCACTTACTAGTTTGAGGATAAAAAGCTACATCATGCATTAATTGTGACGCAGCACGTCTGTATAATGTATGTTTGTGATCGTCCCTTTACAGCTCTGTTCCTTTTCAGGAACATCACAAGCGCCGGGGCTCCACAATGAGGGAGATCGTCCACATCCAGGCCGGCCAATGTGGCAACCAGATCGGCTCCAAGGTGAGACGGCTGTCTGCTGTCTTCATAGCTCACATTCGGGTGGATCAGTGTGGCAAACTTATTCGGCTCGAGAGTGTTGAGGCGTGAGAGGTTCACAATTTTCTAAGTCAGCTCCGTTCAGAGATACCTACTCGTACTGCTAACAAATTAATTGTACGGACAGATGGAGAAAATCAAAAGAACATGGGAACTCAGAGAATGACTGCAGGAAGGGCTTAGCATACCGGCTAGGTGTCTAATCTTCCTTTTAAGCTAGTATTATGCCACACATTCTTTCGCTATACAGCTCAAAATCAAACACTTATTAACAGTAGGTCTTAACCGACCGGACCTTTAGGTGGATGAGCACTGTGTCTACTGTGTTTAACGTGCGTACTGTGTAGCTGGGTGAGGTTGGCTGTCCGTTCCGAGGGCGGCAGGTCGGCCACCTGTACAGAGGTTGGCTGTCTGTGCTGAAGTCAGTAAGTCGGCTGTCAGTGCAGCAGAGATCGGCTGTTGGTACTGAGGTCGGCTGTCTCTTCCGAGGTAGGACACTCGCCACTCGGGCCGTTGACTGTTTGTGCCGAGGCCTGCTGTCTGTAACGAAGTCAGAAGGGCGGCTGTCTGCGCCAAAGTCAATGCTCAGTATGGTTCCCTTTGTTTACAGAGGTCGGGTGTCTAATAATAATAATAATAATAATAATAATAATAATAATAATAATAATAATAATAATAATAATAATAATAATAATAATAATAATAATAATAATAATAATCCATTTATTTCGCACCGATGTTTCACGGTACATATTCAACACATATTCTGTCTGTACAGAGTTTGGCTGTTGTCGGTACAATAGAGTTTGGTTGTCTGTATAGAACTGCAAAAGTCGGCTGCCTGTGGCGAGGTCGTGTTTTGGTTCCCACTGTCGGCGTTTCCCGGTAGCTGATGACGTCACATAAATGTAGGGCAGCGGCGGCAACAACATGGCTGCTAAAACTAAATAAAGGCTTAGCAAAGACCCGTGTCTATGCGTCGCCAGCTCATTTACTAGCCCCGTCATGCATTTAAAAGCAGGAAAGTATGACCAGAAGCGCACATATTTGACGATTGATTGTCTGAACCTAAGTGATCACGCCACATACCGCTGCTAGGGTGTTGATCGATAGCACAGCCATCGACTGTCCGCCCGTCCCGGAAAATAGTCGCTGCATTATTTACTCTGAGCGAACACAACACTGACTCAGGCTGTGCCGGGCTGTTGGACCGTTGGCTCAACGAACAGGTGAAATAGTTACGACCAAAATGTAGCCAGAACACCGGGCTTTGAGTTGATAATAGCTTGTATCAAAGCGTCGTGATAAATACATAACTATGCTGCTAATTATTTACATTAAACAAATGACTGCTGTGCTGAATCCATCAACAGCGTTAAAGTTTCAATAATCGTGCTATTCCTTGCGTGTTGCACTTGTAGATTGCCCCGAAACACTGTCAAAAAAATGCGCTTCATTATTTTTATTGCAATGTAAATGTTAAAACTTATAGCGGTGGAATCGTTTTCCAATTCATCGCAAATTTTTACTGCCCTGACACCCGGCCCCTGCCTGTCGCCGTCAGTTTAGCACCCCGCAAAGTTACACTGCTTACAACGCTCCCCTTGTATTTGTATTTGTATTGTATTTACATTTAAGAGCGATTCACATACAAAGTGCGTGGCGATTACTGCCCTTCTCTGTATCGCCGTCAGTTCTGGGAGATCTGCGCCGACGAGCACGGCCTCGACCCGAAGGGCTACTACAACGGCTCGTCGGACCTGCAGCTGGAGCGCATCAACGTGTACTTCAACGAGGCCGGCTCCGACAAGGGCAACGTGCGCTACGTGCCGCGCGCCGTGCTCGTGGACTTGGAGCCGGGAACCATGGACGCCATCAGGGCGGGGCCCATCGGCGAGCTCTTCAAACCGGACAACTTCGCCTTCGGTGAGACCACAGCGCGGGAGAAACAGGACCGGAGATAATCTGTCCATTACCTTTTTCCTGAATCGGCGTAACTAAAAAAAAAAAAAAACGGAAAAAGTTGGCTTGTTTTTGTGTATAGCATGCAACATGTCGCACAATGCTCGTCTATCAATACGTTAAACAAGGAAGCCTCAAAACCGCTTAGGGGAGAACGATTTTATGCAAACAATGAGTCTCACAATGCGAAAAAGCCGTCTAGGGCTGCGCTCCGGCAGACAATGCCTTATCGGTCGATCTCGTGACTCGTTCCTTGATGCGGCTCGTCACCGTATGCCGACGACGGACCTCCTCGACACGCTAGTCTTCTGTTCGCGGTGGACGGACCATACACTTCCCGGCGGCACGTCAGGACGCTGTTAGGGCTGGATGGACCATGGGACACGCGGGGATCGATGGAGACATGTAGCACCGCTGCCCCAGGCGGCTCCGTGCGCCATTGACACTGTTAACCACGGGGTTAGCGCTGCGACCACGACCGGTAGTCCAGTATCGATTGGAGACGGTCGACGCGACCGACGCGAGGGCCGTGCGACCGACGCAAGGTGTTTTTCAACCGACATGAGGGGTCCTATGGCGAGGTAGCGGTCGCGAGGTCGTGTCAAGACTCTGGATAAATCCGAGGATGGGAAATCCTAGCTTCCTGATTGTTGTACGAAAGATTGTTGGTCCTTTCGTATCCCCCACACTTTGTTAAAGAAGTTTAACCTGTTCTTTTGCAGGTCAGTCCGGCGCCGGCAACAACTGGGCCAAGGGCCACTACACAGAGGGCGCCGAGCTGGTGGACCAGGTGCTAGACATTGTCCGTAAGGAGGCTGAGGGCAGCGACTGCCTGCAGGGCTTCCAGATGACGCACAGCCTGGGCGGCGGCACCGGCTCCGGCATGGGTACCCTCCTTATCTCCAAGGTTCGCGAGGAGTACCCAGACAGGATCCTGGCCACGTTTTCCGTGATGCCGTCGCCGAAGGTGTCGGACACGGTGGTGGAACCGTACAACGCCACCCTCTCCACCCACCAGCTGGTGGAGAACACTGACGAGACGTTCTGCATCGACAACGAGGCGCTCTACGACATCTGCTACCGCCAGCTGAAGCTGCAGACTCCCACCTACGGTGACCTGAATCACCTGATCTGCCTGGCTATGTCTGGGCTCACCACCTGCCTCCGGTTCCCCGGCCAGCTGAACGCCGATCTCAGGAAGCTGGCCGTCAACATGGTGCCCTTCCCGCGTCTGCACTTCTTCGTTCCAGGCTTCGTGCCGCTCGTCTCGCGACAAAGCCAGGGCTACAAGGCGCTGACGGTGCCCGAACTCACCCAGGAGATGTTCGACGCCAAGAACATGATGGCCGCCTGCGATCCCCGGCATGGTCGCTACCTCACCGTTGCCGCAATCTACCGTGGTCGCATGTCCATGAAGGAGGTGGACGAACAGATTGTGGCGGTGCAGAACAAGAACAGCAGCTACTTCGTCGAGTGGATCCCACATAACGTCAAGACAGCCGTGTGTGACATTCCACCGCGAGGTCTGAAAAAGTCAGCGACTTTTGTCGGGAACACCACGGCCATCCAAGATCTCTTCAAGCGTATCTCTGAGCAGTTCACTGCCATGTTCCGGCGCAAGGCTTTCCTCCACTGGTACACCGGCGAGGGCATGGACGAGATGGAGTTCACCGAGGCCGAGAGTAATCTGAATGACCTGGTGTCCGAGTACGAACAGTACCAGGAGGCCACCGTCGACGAAGAGATTGACGAGTACAACGACGGTGAAGACGACGATTACAACGACAACGGGGGCGGTGGTAACGACTACGGTCGTAACGACGATTACGACCGTAACGACGACTACGACAGGCGTAGTAACAACGATCGCCGTGAGGAGGATGATTACGAATAGGCAGAGGGTAGCTCCATTGACGGGACGGGCTGGCACCGGTGCTTGGATGCACCAACACGCTGTGGGGATAGGTTGGTCGTGCAATGTCATTTTCACATGCATTTGTTCTCAGACTTGTACAGTTTTCTTGGTCCGTATTCGTTGCACCGCTAGTGATCTGTACTGATGGGCTGAAGTGTCATGATGTGAGCTAGGTGTCAACAAGACATTTGCTTAATTATGTTGACATTATCTTGATATTATCTTTGTTGAGTCGTTTCACATTCTACAATCACGCATCAGTATTTTTGTGCTTTTTGATCACGTTTGTTAGTGTTATGAGTTGTCGTTATCTGTGATATTACCGCCTTTTTTGGGATCTACTTTTTAAGTCGAATAGTTGTCCACTTCTCTTTGCTGGGTCTGCAATATCAAATACATAAACCAAACATCCGGCTAGCTCTATTTCGCTGTTTAAATGCATGAAAACATCCCGACGGGCTAATTTGTACCATTCAATCTCATGATGCTGTCACGGTATATAACCATTTTGCAACGGAATGTCGATGTTAGCTGAAGATAAGTGCTGTTTAACGAATGTCAGAAAAGGTTGAAGTGATTGGTTTCTTGCGTTGTTAACATCTCATTATTATCATACGAACAATTTTTGTAGGTTGTATGATTTACATAAAACTGTAATCCGTCCAATACCTGTGAGTTATAGCAATCAAATGATGTAACAATAAAACGTGTTTTATTTATTCATTTACGATTCTCACCAACCTGGATGTATGCGTCAAAGTGTGTATACTCGTAGTTGCGCAATATTATCAACTATTCTGTGTTCAGCAATAAATGGGCTTACGTAGCAATTACTGCACTTTCGACATTCGCAGGTCAGATAAAGGCAATGAAGGGTTAACATAAGGTTAGTCACAGACTTTTCTATACAGAGAAAAATAAAAATATAAGACAAAGAATGAGTCATAGGTAGACATATACATAAAATATAAATGAATATAGCATAAGGAGATAAATACATAGATACATAGAGGATACATAGAATAGAAGGCACATACCAATAAATAGTTACGTAAAACAAAATAAGGTTAAACGCTCTGCATGTGTCTCTTCGCCGCCCTTACACGAAATGTGTTTCGTAAAGTTTTCATAAGTTCAGAGCTGGTTGCTTCGAAGAAATTCTCGTGTTGTGGATCTCAACCAAATGCGTGACAAACCACGACAAAACGATAATTACGTAATATCCCTCACTGAACGTCCGATGACGTGATGCATCATTCAAAATTTAAGCCAATGAAGCTTCACAAAAGCTCATTTATCATGAAACTCCGTGTCAACGTCGCACCACACATTTTAGGACGCAGACTTAAATGATCAGCCACACCAATGTCAGCAGCATAATTAGTACAGAATTTCCTATAGCACCAACCATCACGCGCACACACAGTGGCGCCATGATGTCACCAATGACGTCACACTTTGTGTTGGTCCGGTGGCCAGGAGACGGCCGATGTTTGCGCCATAACCGACTGTACCGTTGACGGCGCTCAATACCTTGGGTCCGACGAACGGGGCCCACCGCTCCGCGCTATTGTTATTGCAGGCTACCTGTCCCAGTTTCGCAGGGTGTAGGTACCGGCCAAGGGGTAAGGGCACTTTCAGGGAAGCGGTACAACACAGCGCTGGAATTTCACGAACGAAGGTTTTCGTCATGGTGACGTTATGATTCGCTGAATGTTACGATGTCTAAAGGTCACACGATGATCGTTGCTCAGGCAGTGCATCGATGGCCTTCGCTTTATGTCCACTTTATATCGGAAATCAATGCTACAGGTTGTAAGACATTGATGAAGCTGACGTCGTTTATCTTTCAAGGCGAGGACGGGTAAGCTCTAGATATTTTTTGTGATGTGACTAACGTCTCATGATAATTATACCAATAAGTACATAGATTGATAGATAGACGTAAAAATAAGTCACTCTGCTCAATACAACGACAAATAATGAGGATATCGCATAGGAATATTACAGGATCTTATAGGATCTTAACAGATGGACCAGCAATGCAATGATGTTTTTCTGTACACAGCCAACAGATAGGTAGGTATACTCAATTTATTTTTTAAGCGTTTGCCTAAACTATGGACAAGCTGTACAAGCTGCGGAAAAGCCAGCAGAATCTGAAATCTCAGTCAATATTAAACCTATTTTTTGACTGAAGTACTTTGTGAACACTTTAACAAGCTTTCGACTCGAGTGTCGCTTATGGTTTGCCGTTACGGCTACAGCCTTCAGCGCCCGAGCTAAAGGAGTATGAAAACGTTCCTCCCTGCCTCCAGAATCAACACCGTTCCGTGCTTCTATCCTCAGGATACTGAAATCCTTCTCCCAAACGCCGCAACCCCCCTCCGGGCTGGACAGGCAACTTTATCTCATGCGGGCTGCTCCCTTGGAGCGGCACCGCTGCTCCTGAGGGAGCTGCACCCCGTAGCCGGGTGCAGAGAGTGCTTGGGGGGCTGGTCGGCCTGTCCATTTGGACGGGCTCAGCCCCGGCGACTCTCTAGGGTGCCTGCCCAGACCAATGTCTCCCCCTAATTCCTATCATCCTTCCGGCTCTGCAATGGTCTTGTCGACCGAAAGGGCCTAACCCAACAAAACAAACAAACAAAAAAGCCTCCAGAATTGTTACTTCACCGGCTACAGATAATGCAACATTCATCAGTTGGTGAACATAAAGAACATAAGGACGAAAATGCATGCGTTGTCGCGAGAGGCGCCGCGCCCAACAGCTGGCATTGTGCTATGCGGCACAGCATCCTTCAGGCGCTTACACCAGAGACATCTAGCGTCAGAGCTGTGAACTGCCAACGCCAGCCGGCCTTAGCCGACGTTAGTTGGTCGAAGCGAAATGATGCGTCGTTTTAGCAGCATCCGTGTACCGTAGTCCTAATAGTTACAGAATCTGTGAAAAAGATATGCACGCATTCAGCAATGACACTTATCTTCGAAGTAAAACGACCATAGCCATGTGGGCGTCAGTCGTAACCAACCAAATGTTTCGTTGTTCTTCATCACGCATCATCTGACCTGTTGGGCAGCACTTCTGTAAATTTGTTTAAAACTTAAGCCGTTTGAGCTCCGCCAGCCATTGCACACACTCGCGATGAGCAGTTCCTTAAAATCATTTATTAAAATACAAGCGTCCAACGGCGGACATGAAGTCACAAATCGATCACCAGTCCCTACAACATGAACAGACAGCATTATCCGACAACGCCCCGCCGCTCTGTGCAGCTCGACCTCTGCCTGTTGAGCGGGCTGCCACGGGACCAGAGAACACTCATCTCTCTGCCCTCTCGACAACGGCCGGGGCGGGTGAACAACTGAACATGGCAGGCGGACGTATGGAACAGTGGAGCCGGCACGCGTGTGGCGCCGGTCGGGGCGGGGTGGCGCGCCCGCCAGCGGGCCGCGCTGTCCCTCTGAGGAGCCCTGTCCGGCCACTCACCGCCGGTGCAGTGCTGAGGTAATGGCCCCGGCAGCAGGGAGGCAGCGGCTCGGCTGCCACACCCGACCTACCAGTAGAACGGCACACACTCGTAACAAGGCTACAGCCATCAACTTTGAGTAGTTCAATAAATTCCACATAAGTAATTTGAATGGTTGAATACAACTTTCACCGTTGTAAACCGGAACCGCGAAGTCTCTTTGAAAAGTCTCACATGTCTGGTAAAATACTTTTTATGGCACCGACCGAGATGGAGCAAGTTGGTGTCACTCGGTCAAAAATAAGCGCTTCTCTCGACCGCAAGGCGCTGAGACGAGAGGCGAACTTCATAACCCGGCCAACCAGCTTCGGCTTCGAGCGGTTACCTGCTGAGCCATCGACAAAGAGGCCAACAAGGCCTCGGCGACAGGTCACAGGTCACGAGCGAACGGCAGTAGCTATCACCGGACGGTCAAATCTGCCTCCTTCGGTGCACTCCCTACCGAAAACAACCAGCTCAACACCGATAACCAAAGGCAGCTTCGCTTCAACAATAATGTTTCAAAATCAATACAACCGGACTGAAGGTTTCGAGCACGGATAATTGATATTGACAACGGCAACTGGCGTATTTGGAGCAAAGGTAAAGGTTGATGAATCTACGTAACAAGCAAGCACTACATCAGTGTGTAACTCAGAACTTTACGGTTTCAAACCAGGTATCAGGAAAAGTAGGTACGGGAAATGATAAGCTAACTTAGCACAACAAAATCAGAACGGATGACTTGTAAACGAGGTGGCAAACAATATCGACACAGGGTAACCGAAGCAATGACATGGCCTGAGAACACGTGACAGACTGGGTCTGACGGAGCGCCCGCACAGCATGAGATCCGACGACCACCCGCCAATAAGATCTTGCACACAATGTCACTGGGCGGCGACGGGGGCCGTCCTCCACACGCTTTGTACCCAACCGACGGCACCATTTGTTCGACTCCGCCCAGGACCAGCCTGAGCGCGCACGCCGTCTTGCTTGAGCAAAATAAGACCAACATCAACAAACGGTGCAGCCATGGCACCAGCGGCAGCTGCCGGCAGAGCCAGGCTCCGCTCTCAAAACTCCGTAACAGTCAATACTGCCGCCGGGGAGAGCGACAGGTGCCTCAGGGAGGGACAGCCTGGTCGCTCCGGGACAGCAGCACCCAGTGAGCACCTCCTCCACCGCGCCGTGCGGTTAGCTGTCGTCGACCGGCTCTCCCGTCTCCATTGGCGCTGGGCTCTGCACGGACAGCGACTGGAGAGCTGCCGACGGCGACGGTGGCGCCTCCTGGACGCTTCCGATCGTCGCTGACAGGTGGCGCAGGTAGGTAGGCGGCTGCTCCTCCGAGTTAGCTCGCCGCGGCGGAGCTCGAGGCGACGGCGGCGGCGCTGTTTCGTCCACGCTGCCACCGCTCTCTGATAGCTCATATCGGGATACGTGAGTACGCATGTGACGGGTGATCATGTCACGCCGACAGGCGGCGTACGGACACTGAGGGCACTTGTACGGCTTTTCGCCGGTGTGAGTTCGCTGATGTGTGGACAGGTGATCAGACCGAGAGAATACCTGGCCACACACACGGCACGTGTACGGCTTGAGGCCCGTGTGCAGTCGCATGTGCCGGGTCAACATATCGCTGCGAGCGAACGACCGCTTACACGTCTCACACATGTACGCTTTGGAGGAGGATTCAGCCGGTTTGCTCTTGTGCCTGGAGGCCATGTGTTTAGCGAGCCGATCGTGCAGAGAGAACATCTGACCGCACACGGGACACACATAGGCCACGTCTGCGCCGGGAGGCATCTGCTCGACTACCGGACACACTTCTAGGTTATACCGGAGAGCCACAGAGTCACGAGTGGTCGGTGACGCCACGTCCCCACGTACGATGGGTATTGGCGGGTGCAGGCTGGCCGGGTGCAGCCCGAGCAGCGGGTGCGCCGCCGGCTCCCAGGACGGGGTGTTCGGCGTCGCAGCCGCACCCGCGCCGGCCGGTTTTCCCGAGCGCAGTGACAGATCCAGCGGTGAATCCTGCGGTGAAGACTGGTCCGACTCTAGTGAGCCCGACTTGCCGGGGATTCGCAGCGGTCGCGGCGCCGAGCGGCGGCCCTGGCGCAGCACGGAGCCCCGAGCCGGTGTCGGCGCCGGCGGCTCCAGCCACGAGCTCAGGTCAGAGTCGGAGTGACTGCGCCGACGGTAGAGCTCCGAGAGGTGCGTCAGGTACTCGAGCGGCAGTGGCGACTGTGACAACGACGCTGGGCTCACTGGGGTAAGTGGTGACAGCGGTGAGCCCGCCGGTAGCCGGCACGCGTCCAGGCGCACCTCGTCACCGCCGGCCGCGCACTGGGGGCAGCTACACACACTGAGCCGGTGAGCTCCTTTGAGCCGCTCACAGCTCACCACGTGCAGCCGCGCCGGCGAGCCGCCTGAGCGCGAGTGGGGCTCCAGTTTCACCTCTGTCTCTATACCAGGCTCCTCTTTCACCCGCAGCGGACTGAGGCCGGGCCGCGGCGAGCCCTGACCGACGAACGGACTGTCCAGCGACGAGTGCGTCGATCGCGACGAGGCCGGCGAGAACACATCTTCCTCCTCCTCCGAGATAGCGCGGCACGCGAACCGCTCCCGGTCCAGACTGTCGAACCGGAACACGTCCGACGAGATGGGGCGCGGGCTGCGCGCCGGCGGCATCGCTGCGCCCTCGTCCCCGGGCCGAGCCTCCGACTCGGCACGGGCGAACATAGGTGGCGCTGCCGGACTGCTTTTGACTGCCACAGGTGGCGTTAGTGTACCCTGCTGGCTCAGTGTAGAGGCCGCGGGAGGGTGCACATCGTCGCGGCCGGCGCCGAGGGTCAGTTTGTCTAGCAGTGTGTTCAGACGGCGGCGTTTTGAGGGAGCTGGGGGCTGCTGACTGACGACGGGCACTGCCAGCTGGGCCATAGTGCGGCGGCGCCGGCAGTCACGGGCCGCATGCTGTCCGCGGTCACGCGCTTCAGCTACAGACCCTGAGGGCACACAGACAGACAGAGCTCGGTCAGAGGTCGGCATTCGGCAGCGAGCGACGGCGGGGTAGTACGAACAATCACAAATCGTGTAATTTATTTGAATCCGCAGTTTTGCTTTGCGTGTTTTGGAAACCATTTCTTGACCGATGAATACCTGAACACATACCTAGGCAATATACAAAGTATATAAAAACAAGGTAATCCTTCATAACAAGATGTCAAAAACGGGAAAGGAAACAGACACATTAACAAGCCGCAAAGTGAATGCGTTGTGCACATTGTTAATGGCTATGCAATATGCATTCGATGCTCAATATAAAATCCGTTTGTAGTAAGTTGTTTATTATCCCATGTAGGTGCTTCAGATAACGTTGCAAATCATTCATGCCTACTTGTTGAAACAAACGCATTGTAAACAAGCTGAAAAAGGTACAGATTATTGCGCTGGTCATAATCACTGCCGTTAGAATGAGAGCGATTGGCCTTTTAAGTGACGATCACCTGCAAAGGAATACGGTGCCAAATAAATTTTGGATACATCCATGTCCACGTCCAGCTCTGGCCCCGTTTTTCTGGTTTCAGTTCCGCAGCTCTGACGCATTTCCCTTGTTTCGGAATATGTCAGGTATCCATGAGTGTTTGAAACACTTTGCGTGAACTACAAAAATACATACACAGCTTTTACGAGGGAACCATAATGAAGATGGGGAGGAGAGAGAGAGAGAGAGAGAGAGAGAGAGAGAGAGAGAGAGAGAGAGAGAGAGAGAGAGAGAGAGAGAGAGAGAGAGAGAGAGAGAGAAGAGAGGAGAGGAGAGGGCTATAGACATAAACAGAGCGAAGGACAAACAGAGACGGGACCATGGTAGTCACCATTTAATTCTCGTCTGACGTAATCTAGGTATTCTTTTGCATACGAACATTAATTGTCTTTGCATGTTGCGTGTCAATTTTTAATGATCAGCTTTAAAGGGAATGGTCACTAATGAAAACATTATTTCATTCGTTTATTCAACGAAGGCACAAAGAAACCTTCCACTCGAATTCGCGAAAGTAAAGGCATTAAAACCCATAAAATGTGACAGCTTTTGCCACAGAGACAGAGGTGGCACCGCGGCAGAATAATTCTGTTCCGTCCATTACATTTAACGAGCCAGGTTCTCATACTTAACGGGTATTAAAGAGGAAACACGCCAATTATCTATGATGCGGCTAAAATATCGTCGTCGTAACACTGGAATTTGTCTTCCTTTCCCAACATTTCGTCTACATTTACAACACATCTTGACGCCGTGGCCTTAACCACATCAATCCTCCTCTTAAAAAAGACGTCGGGAATCAAAGGAACTCGTAAAAATCCAAAGCGGCCACTAAATAGGGGCACGGTACCAGGTACAGAATGCGACGCCCACCGCTTGCACCGGCCGGCGCAGAAACTGTGCCGGAAGTCAGCGGTGCCCGGCGGGTCAGTCTACCTGCCAGTTGTCAGCCGGCGGCGGCCCACCGCTCAGCTGCGCGCTGCCGCCAGGGAAGAAGGTGGGGCTGCCGACTACCGCCCCACAGCTCCGGGCAGGGTGGTGCAACTCGTATTTGAGATATAAACACTCACTGTTGATGGCTTATGGTCATGTTGCATGATCATAAGCATCAATCCTTCTTCATGCCCAATTAGCTCGTGCACGTTGAGCTTTGGGTGTTGTTTAAGGTTATAAAAGTATTATCGGTAGATAAGCTTGAATCTTATATCAAATAAGACAATTGGTCATGAAAACAGGTGCTGCAATGGAAGATTTAGGAAGAGTAGCTTTAAAGATGCGTATCATCTCCAGAGCTGGGCGCGTTCCTCGATTTTCGGTAGTGCGTTAGCGTTCCTGCGTTCCTCCGGCCGCGGTTACTGCGTTCCTGGAATAGCGTTCCTCAATTTGTTTTCGTTCGGTGCGTTAGCGTTCCTGCGTTCCTGCGTTCCTCCCTAAAAAATACCGCCGAACTACGCGGCGCGGGCCCAACCAAACACGGGGCGAATCGATCACAGAATACCCAGAATGGCGACGTGGGGCCGAAAAGCAACTCGACATCTCTTTTCCGAATCGAATATCTGAAATACGTTTTACCAATATCATCCGAAGGGTTTTCAACAAAAATACGACCTGCTTAAAAACAATAGTTAAGTTAAAAGATGTATCTTAGTAAAAGTTATCATATTTATTTTACACATTTAATGCCTGAAACCGAATCGAATAGTAAACATCACCACTAAATCTAAGCAAGCCTTCTTCGATTCGACCGACAAGTGGCGCCTCTACCGGCAAACACACGTACTCGAGATTCAAACATTTGACACAGAGGTCATTGGCAGCAATATAATTTTTCGGGTGGTTCCGCAAGAACGCAGGAACGCTTCAAAATTTCGGGTGGTGCGTTCCTCTTACTTGCGTTCCTTTGAAAAACTTTGCGTCCCTGCGTTCTTGCGTTCCTAAAAAGGGCGGTGCGTACGTACGGAAGAACGCAGGAACGCACTAAAGGAACGCACTTGCCCAGCTCTGATCATCTCGAACAATGCCAGCGAGACCATTCAGTTATAGGACTTATCCTCTGAAGTATGCATGCATCCCCAAAATTGAAAGACATTCCTTTGAGTAAAGAAAGTGACTGGCGTCAAAGTTAAGACTGGGATGACTGGAGAAACTTCAAGTTAAGTCGGTGTGTTGTTCCCAATGCATCCCTTGCGATGATCGTCACCATGCGACTCTACCCGTCTTTCCCGTTCCCTGTGCCGCGGAACCGATCTTTTCATCTCTCCGCTCTGCTGTCTCGCTGTCTCTGATTCCAACTGCGTTAGACTCAGTCGTCCCACAGCCTCCTCCCGTGCATCATGCACCGTTGCCGGACTGATGTAATGACCCTTCCCACCGGGCCCTCAGGAGTCGTCCGGCAGTCACGGCTATGGCCCTGTTTCAACTGTCCGTCAGTCTGACGAGCTCATGACCATCGATAATTCATGAGCTCGGTGGTCGCTCTCGCCCCGCTTGCTTCCTACTTACGACGGACTGCAGTGAAGGCGGAATGGGTTGAAACTATGCGAAATGGCCTCTAAGGACTATTGTAGCCAGGGGAGGTAAAAAAGAGGAGACGAAAGCTGGGAAATGAATGGAAAAAGAAAATTAAGGACAACAGAAAGAAAAGAGAAAAGTGGGAATGGGACAAATGCTGATTAAACGGAGGGAATCTTTAAACTTTGAGAGAAAGCCGAAAATTAATCAAACAGTTTTATTTTCAAGACAATTTTGTCGAACTTATTTATGTTTTGCTGCGGTTTTAGATAAGGTTGTTGACATATTATAATACATAATATCGGTCATGGTGTTGCAATCATGGCAGAACGTAGCATGAATATTTTTAACATTGCTTTTCGCAGCAGGTAAATCCACCCCGATATACGCATGTGGCTGGCCAGTGTTTGGAATTCGATCAAATGTCATCATTCATGATTAGGTTGGATGTTATCTTGTGAAATATTTTCCCATTCATTGATCATTCATGTCATTGTCACTGAGCACTTTTCAGACGCCAACAATATTAAGATAACGCCACATGAGACAGTATCAGTTACTCGGCGAAACATGATCCTCCTCTCCGAAGCAACTCCTTCAATAAGTCCATCACCCTCGAGCCTCGCGTCCAACCATCATATAATACAACCACCGATTGACTTAAGCACATAGCAGCAGTCACGCTGACATATTTATAGCCATGCATGCATGCATACGGCATACATGTATATTCTCTCTCGGCGGGAGGAGTAGTCCCGTGCTCGTTGCGAATGCAAACGGTGACTATCTATGCGCCGGGTGAGCGTTGTGCGCGGCGAGAGTCCATGTCCCCATCACAGATTGTATCGACGGCAGCTCAGAGGCACACACAGCGCGCTGCAGGGGACAGGCCAGAAAAACGCGTGAGGCTTTCGAGCGGTTGAAATTCACCAAAACGGCACCAAGCAAATGCGAAGGGGTTTCTCGGTAGTCGGTAGTGAAACTTTCGTCGGTTCACTTCACATCGATATGCATTGTCCTCATCAACTACATTCATTTAGCACTTCAAACGAGCCGCACCTGAAAAATACCTAAGACCGAGACGTCCAACCGTATCCCATCTCCATGAAACGCTCGTTAGAGAGTGCGCTGCACGCAGGCAGTGAGAACAAACTGTCACTTGTCTCGTCAGGCACAGACGACTGACGGACGCATACTATCGACACAGCTGACTGAGGTGGGGGACTCAACCCGGGCACATTATACATACAGTCTGCATAGCCCGCCATGTTCATGCTAATTCGGCGCGATGTGGCACGGATTAGACAGAAGCGGCGCGGCCGCGGCGATCGGAAGGCAAGGACGTCGGAAACCAGGGTGTCCGTGTCGTGGGTTGTAGCGAGGGAGTGCCACGGTTACGATGACGGGTCGGCAGGAACAGTAGCGGCCGGGGGGCCGGGGCCGCAGTGACAGACTGCCGATCTCGGGTGGCGAGACGGCGGTAGATCCACAGCGCTCGCGGACCGCCGTCCGGCATGGGGAGGGTGGGGGTAGAGGACCGGAGGGGTGGGTAGAGGGCCGGGGAGCTGGAGCCTCTTGAGAGGCCGCACTCACTAACCGGCTACCGACGAACTTCGAACGGAGTTTGGCCATACAGAGCTATTAATGACCTGAAAGTTGAGGTATTTTCAAGTCTGCTGGCTGGATGAATCTGCTCATGATTTTTAATTTGTATATTTAGTGTCCTTGTGCCAGCTTCCTTCTGCAAAAACGCCAGTCACTTTTTCATATTAAACTAGCGGAGCAACTCAATTAGAGATCATATTTTATTAATCTACGCCGGTGTTCAGCGCACTGATTATGAGCGCGACGAATCGGCGCGACAAATTGGCGGGCCCACCAACTACTTCGGCTCCACGTGTCTCCGTGGATGGTGACGTAACGGTGACGTCACTGAAGCTGCTGCGCGACTGA